TCAGTATTAAGTAAACCTTGATTAGGTCTCCTCGCTGACGTCGATATTCAACACTGTACAATCTCGCGGACTGCAGTCTGCGTTGGTAAGAGAGATGAGACAATCCTCTAAGGAGTTTGGTCGCTCTGCGTTGTAAAGCTTCACGTGCAATGATGTCGCACTTGCGCCAGGGACGCCAGGCTTGGATCGCATATTCAACGTGGGGCCTCATGTACGCGTTCTGTATTTGCGGCAAGACTGATAGCTCAAAATTTCCGAAAGCCTTCCGTAGGAGTTCAAGATGTTGAATGGCTCTTTTTCCTGTTTAGAGCACCTAAGATCGTACTGCACGATCACTCCGAGGTCGTTTTCTTGGGAAGCGTATTGTAACTGCCGGTACCCGAGTCGATATTCATAGATAAGCTGATGGCGTATGCTTACAAGTGCACTTCGCCACGTTGAACTAGTGCCGATTGTCGGACCACCATGCATAAGCCCTATCGAGATCATTCTGCAATGCCATGTGACCATCTGATGTCCTGATACCATGCCGAATTTTGGCATCCTCTGCAACTAGTAAGATATTCGACTACAGTACACTGGCAAGATTTTTAATGAATGTGAGGAATAAAGGTGGCCCCAGTACCGATACTTGGGGCACGCCACACTGGACTTTAATTGGGTCGGAAATGGAGCTGCGAATTCTCACATTCAACTGACCTTAACTGAGGAAGTTGCCGATCTAACCGAGCACAGGGTCACCGATTCCGCAGCTTCAAAGCTTATGCAGGAGAATGCGGTAGTCCAAACGATGGAACGCTTTCGAGAAGTCCAGGTAGACAAAGTCGACTCCTACTCTGGCATCCGCTGACTCTGTCCAGCTTGCTCGGGTTAGCAGCACGTTCGTAGTGCAGGACTGATTTCGGCGGTATCCGTGTTGCTGTGACACTAGGATGTTGTTGCTCTCAAGATATCCCATGAGTGCCTCTGCAATTATACGTTCCGGTACTTTGGATAAAACCGGGAGGACAGTGATTGGACGGTAGTTCCAAGTCTCAGAACGACGACCATTTTGGTAAATAAGAGTGACTAGTCCTTGTTTCCACATTGTGGGAACCTACATTTCGTCGAGACAACGTTGAAAGAATCGAGCAAATGGTTCGGCAAGATTCATGACCACTGTCTTCAATGCCTTCGGTTTGCTGTCATCCACGCCAGGTGAGCTGTGCACGCGCAATGACATAAGCGTGTTCATCATATTGGCTGCCGTGAACGACACGTTGGTTATCCCTCGGCGCCATTTTGTCCCTGGTCCATATACACGATATATCTCAGGTTCGCTGTTCGGTTTGTGCATTGTCTGCGGCTTACATGAAGCCATGGGGAGTAATCAGTGAACCCGATGACAGTGACCTAATTCAGTGTGACGTTGGCCACCTCTCCATATGATCTGCACAGGTCAATCTTCTGACAAAACCGGTCAAGTCGTTATCCATGGACTTTGGTAAGAATGGACACGGTCGAATCTACACTGTGGCCGGTCAACCGTTGCATCGCGCACTTTTCCTGAAAGACTTCGATGCTCTCTCATGCTGCGACCAAAGGCCGTGGACAACACAAAATGGCTTTACCAAAACAGACTTCGTATGATTTAGACGATCAAGCACACTTGCTACAATTGGTCCGAAGAGATTGCCACCCGGCTCTTCGTTTCAATCATACGAACAATGCTAGATTACGGCTCACCCGCATACTACGCTATCACTCGGAGCCAGGTGCAAAGGAATGAGGGGGCACAGTATGTAGCCACCATGCATATCCCTTCATTACAACGTGTTCCCTACGAAGACCGGTGCAAGAGGCTAGGACTTTACATCCAGTCTTATCGGTGAGTGTGGCTTGACCTCATCAGGACGCAGTGAATATTGAGTCTTGGCAATTATCCCATGTTGAGGCCGCTGCTCCATATGCACACAACAAGCTGCATATGAGGACACCGGTACAAGCTTGTAGTACTGGATTTGAAGCGAGTCGCTCACCAACTCCGATTCGGACGGTGAGCAGCGAATATATGGAGCAACTTACCGCCGCACGTAACCGAAGGCAAGTCGGTGTCGGAATTTAAAAACGTTCCTGGATGAAGGTTTTGCCGACATGAAATATCCGGAATGTTCACCATCATAATAGATTATTGTACCTGAAGGATTTTAATTGCAGCTACACAGAGATATTTCTTCTTGCTGCTTCCATACGGTATCCAGTATTCAAAAACAACTCGTTACAATCGTTTCATACGCTTCTCAATCCGAGCTTATAGCAGACTGTTGCTTCCAATGACTCGGCTTGAAAGGGTACACCGAACGCTATCTTAACTCCGATGGTGTAGACGCCGAAACTGAGTTCATTCAAACACGAACTACTGACTTATTTAGTATGACAAACCCTCTAGGTACTTGGAAGGTATCACTAAACGTAGCACAGTGGACCGTTGGGGCACACAAATCACCGCGCCAACTTGAGCTTTAACCTCATTGTGATAGAGGGTGATGTCTGTCCAATCCACGCGTGCTTGTACTAACGAGCGCCACCGCTCATTAGTGATTTTAGCGATGTCCCATCTGCATGAGTATTAATGACACTTCACTTTAGAGCAGTGTGCAAAGGATTGAACTGATGTCATCGGACAATCTTGCATTTTACGAAATCCATCAACCCCTCGGAAGTGATGGTCCCCAGCCAATCGAGGTGATGCCACAGATCGCTGACAGTGGTAATCATACCGACATCATTATAAGGTAGGTCAGCACCGTCCGTTCCAAGAATCCGTGAAGTTTCTCACCATCAACGAGGTAATGAACATCAAATTTCCGTCACTGTGATTGGACAGTTCCTCAGGGGGCTGAGCAACTAACCATGTTGTTTGGGGTACATCGATCTAGGACGCCTTCCACGCTCAGCCCGAGCAGAACCCGCGTTACATGGAGTTTCCATATCTCACGAGGAACTACGATGACAGTCAAGCAACCGAGTGTAACCACTGCGTGAGTGTGTCCAAGTAACATCAATGACACTCAGAGGGAGTGCATGATCGTGATATTCAGATTCTGTACGTGACGCAGTGTGGACCAAGGGTCACCGTACGCATTGCCAAAATCAATACCACTAGTGGATCCGACTACAATTATCTACGCGGTAACATCCCACCCGACGCATGTGTTGGAAACACCCAGCAAAACAATCGGTGGTCCTCCACTAGTGAACCCAGCACGGAGGCGAACTCGAAGAATGGTTGTCGGATTAACATTTGTTGGAAGCGTTTACAGTGTCGGTGAAGGGACCTCCTAGGGTCAATTCTGATCGCACCGTCACCCAATCAGTGGAACATGGAAAATCGGTTGCCACAACCAAATATTGCTATAGTTGCGTTTCCAATCAGATGAAAGGTTTAGTAACCATCATTTTCATACAATTTACCTGGCTCAGTAAGCCGCGCCTCAACGGTTGCTGGGGCGTCATTGCAATAGTGACCAAGTTACATGGCGACCAGTATGGTGTGTCGCGTTGGGCCTTGACTTATGATTCCGTTTAACACTGGTTATTGTCAAGACATGTGATTAACCCTATTGACTGGTGGGGTGGACAAGTGGGTAGGCAGCCGAAACTGAGGTTGCTAAGTTGGTTCGGGAATAACGGGAGTTACGATGAATGAAGATGGGCAGATGGTGGGGAAGATACCCGGGATGCCCGTGATAATGTACATTTGCATTTCCCCATTCTACAGTATGCTGGAGGTGGGTTGGCTCTCTCCGGGTTGCACGAAGACCAATGCAGCATGAAATTACGGAACAAGGCACACGCACATTAAACTTGTAGTCCAGTGGGTAGATGACGGTGATAAAGCTGGCGTCATTGATGATACGTATCTTGTGTCGTTTCAACAGAATAACGTTGATCACACCAGATGATTGGAGAGGGATCAATAGCATACACGTTACCTGTCCTCTACATCACGTTCCATTATCACATCGATCACCGTACGCCTCGAACCATAAGTTATCCTAGTTTGTAAAAACATCGTTTGGTCTTTCTCAGTAACGGTGAACCTGTAGTCGCTGCACACGCGTAACCTAAGGCAACTTGTTCACCCTAAGTCTTCGATCCAACCGAGCAACTGATGGAAACCACCTATTTTTCACCGGTGCAGGCCCTCGTTGTGAATGAGAAGGTTCCGCTCGTATGAGCAATGCCGCGCGGACAACCTTGACCAAAAAATCGAACGCACGGGAGACCGTTAGGACAAAGGAAACAGTCTTCATTGTCGCGCTGGAGACTATCGTCGCTATTGTCCTAAATAAAGACAGAAGCTGAGGGCTGTCGTCTTCTGGCGGCAGTGTCAAGTCTGGATGATTAGTATGGGTCAGGTAAAGCACATGCTTGACTGAACATAATCTGATCCGACAATAGAAATGTATGGAGTAAAGTGGTTTGGGTTCGCATGTCATACAGCGTTGGGAAGCCACTTGTAGATAACGAATCTCGGAAAATTTTGAATATTGCGGCTTGCAGGCTCCCTATCAGCTGCTTCCAGCAAAGCGCAAGCCAAAACAGCAGACATTAGAGGACAGAGCTGAAAGAGTGCTCATCGACTTGTAAATGTAAAAAACCGGGGGATTCCGGTTAAACGTCAACACCTGATTTTCAATTGGTTCTGTTTTTGGTAGCTTGGCTACTAGGCCACAAACGTGGTGCTCAGAGATTCGTTCCTATAGAAACTCCATTTTAGCATAGGAGACTTATAACATAAGTAGTTGGTGGTAAACCAGGAAAAGTGCGGTAAGCGTGGTGCTACGCCAACGTTTCTACTTGCGCACTTCCCTGGAAAATGATGTATGCACGCATGCGGCAAGGTAGTTAGTTTGTTGGGTGTGGTGTGGTGCGGTGTACAACAAGTGAGAAAGCGAAAATTTACTGCACGCTGGAGTGAATGATAGAGTCTTCCGCTTACTTCTTTATTTGGACAGGTTACTCTCGCTATGAGCAGACCCCAGGTCAATGGGGGAGAGGAAGCAGTCCAAATCGAATGATCCCGATTTACTGCTCCGTCATGGGAATGGTCATTCTCATTGTACTTTTCTATGTGATGTACAAGCTTTGGAAACAACGGAATTCCATAGCTAATGCAAAACTGTCCGAAGACTACGGTGTGGTCGCATGCAACGGCCACCACGGAAGTGTCGCAGCCACCCTACACGGAAGCACGATAACAGGTCCGGATGGTGCCAGCCGGAGCAACATGAATACACACAACATTGTAGAAATCCTGACTGAGAAAGTACCACTGATCAACCAAGTCGATGATCCGATTCGCATGTGCGGTAGGTCTATTGATTATAGCAGTATCTATTCTTATATTCCATCCTATTGCTTATATGTGGTCGATAATGACAAATATTGTAAGCGAACAGTTTGTTATATTTTGAGGTGTCTGCTAAGTAGTTCGAAACGCATTCGTGTTAGTACCCTGGGTAAAGCAAGCGAAGCAACAAATGCATTGCCCGTTGTCTGTGTGGTTAGTACAGCGTCAACAACTAGCATTAGTGAGCGAATGGTAAACACCACTTATGAACCTAAGGAGAGTTACTCATGAGAGTCTAAAGGGAGTGGGCGTGTGCCGATTGATTCCGTTGCTGGCACACAACCCAGGCTTTCAGGGTTTCAGGAAGCTCACCGATAATTACTCACTAGATAGAACAAAACGGGCACTTTTAAAACTGACTAACCGGTTGAATTGTGTTAATGTGTAAATGTCGATAGCGACGGGAGAGTTGTCTGAGCAGCCTCAATCATCTAGACGGATACGGTGTGACATTGGATGAGAAAGCTGGGCACCTACAACCAGAGCTTTAGTTACACGTCTGATATGAAATAAAAAATTGGTTCAACCTAGGCTGTGATAGAATCATGACACATCTGTCATTCACAGTAGACATCAGGAAGGTACGTGTATAGACATCCGAAAGGCAGGCTTGAATAAAACGAACGATAATTGGAAGCCTATTGAGAGTTTTGTCCGGTAAAATGAAGACTTCTATTTGGAACTCATCACCATTCAGGAGTAAAAGAGATCTCATGTGTAAAGAGAAGCACAGTTTGCGCTAGTTTATTGAAGAAGCCAACTCATACCACTGGATCAGTATAAAGAGGAAAAGACCTTATTTTGAGATCGGATATCACCAGACACGGAATAACAGCCGTCGAATTTTACGGGGCTGATTTATGAGACACCACAATGTCACAGTCCGGAACTGGCTTCGACAAATTTGTCCAAGCTTACTTATTAAAATTTCCACAGATTCGCCATCGCTCTGTCCTTTGTTTCACAATAAACAGTAATGATTTGAACCATTGTATGTTCTAGGCATATCTAACCAATTTCGTTGTGCGAAAGCTAACTTTGGATGACGAATACTAAGGAGTAGAACCTAATAGATGTACTGATTTATGCGTCACCAGATGGAAGACAGTTCGCAATTCGTCAGTAGTGGACCAAAGAAGAGGGTAAAATGGAGTTCATGTACAGCGGCCTAATATCCGGTCATTGGGTGCCCAAAGAGCCAGACTGCATGTAGGGAAAAAAGTAGGTATCTCGCAGCTGCACTCATGAAGTGGAAAGTTGGTGAAGTAGTAGATTAGACAAAGCACATGCAACTGTGCGTTGATGTAGTACTCCGAGTCTATGACAGAAGGGAAAGCTAGTGCATTAAGGCAGAAAACGATAACCTACTGAGCAACCATATACCTTTTTATGAATGATGCGTATTAATGCAATCACATATGATGTCAACGCATTGTCTTTCATGATCAGGTTTGACAGAGAGAACCATGGCTTCTCTTTCGTGCAACGCGATAGGCAATCTGTGCATTCAGCTGGCCTTGGATGGATGGAAACGTCTGGCTGTGATTATGGGTGAGTTTTACCGACGCACGAGCTCAGATTGTAAGCAGCCAATAAAAATGTAAGGCAAACATTAAGTAAAATAAGCCCCAAGTACCAATAAACCATTGTTTTTGAGTCACAAAGGTATCAGCAGCAGCAGCAGCAGCAGCAGCAGCAGCAGCAGCAGCAGCAGCAGCAGCAGCAGCAGCAGCAGCAGCAGCAGCAGCAGCAGCAGCAGCAGCAGCAGCAGCAGCAGCAGCAGCAGCAGCAGCAGCAGCAGCAGCAGCAGCAGCAGCAGCAGCAGCAGCAGCAGCAGCAGCAGCAGCAGCAGCAGCAGCAGCAGCAGCAGCAGCAGCAACAGCAGCAACAGCACCAGCAGCAGCACACATTAGCTGAAGATGATAAACGCCCTTCAATTATTGTGCCGCAATACAAAACGTTAAGAAATATGAAAGCACGACGTACAACGCTTTTGGAATGCAAAATACAAAGAGTGATATACTGCTTAGTAACATATTATGCTTCATGAATTAACTCGTGGTTGGAAGGGAGAATTAGGGGGGAGAAGGATGAGGAAAAGGCAAGTCACGACATAAGCGCCATTTACACGGCGCTTCGCCATGTCAACTAGTGTATCCAACCAAACGTGTTCATCATCCTTCGGACCTAAACCTCGCGGTCATACGACACTAACCACGCCAAGTTCGAAGTGTGGACCCTACTTCCTCTTGATAATGTCATCGTTTGACTTCCGCTCCTCTTCTTTCATCCACACCTCGGTCGCGCAAACAAAACCCGTCGAGAGAGTCGGTGTGCTGGTATGTGAAACCCCTTGTCTAGGCATCGGAGCCTGGTACACGATGTAACGGTGCTGAGCAGTTCACGTGCTCTTCCTGCACTAACTACGTGACGCCGAACACATTCATCATTCACGCGGTGTTTCTGCCATACATGAGCCAAACTGCGAAAGCAGCGACGGTCGAACGCAACTAGCCTCTTTGCATCTGACCGTCTGATGGGCCGGGTTTCACAACCGTACAGGAGGGTTGAACACACGATTGTGTTGTAAACTCTGCTCTTCAGAGAGAGAGAGAGAGCGATGTCGAGTCGGCGCCACAGGTGGAGAAGATTTGAAAAAGCGCCTCTAGCTTTTGCTACACCGTTGGTGATCTCATCCTCAATTAAATTGGCACTGCTATACTTGTCTAGATACTTGAATCCCTGGACGACTTCTAGCTGATCACTACTAAGAGTCATCGCAGAAGTGGGTCTGTGCCAATCTTGAAGAAGGATTTTGCATTTTGGTGAGGTAAAGCATAACCCGAAATGACTGACAGCCAGTGCTAATCTGCCCAGTGCTGCTTGACACATTTGAGAGTTCTCACAGAATAGGACAATGCCGTCAGCATACTCCAAATCAAGAATTTGTTCATATGGGAGCAGCTCCACACACGCTAAGGCGTATCCAGTGAATGCTATTTCCATGACTTAATCAATAGTGAAGTTGAAGAGAAATAGTGATAGCTGGTAACTTTGTCTCGCATTGCTGGAGATATTGAATGGCGGTAACAGCCTGCCATAAGCTCTCACTCTGCCCGAACAGCGTTTGTGAAGCGCTTTAATTAAATTGCCTTTCGAAGTGCTCAAGCCAACGCTCCAATCGTTTTGCCAAGCTGTGATTAGACTCTCCACTCTCATCACATAATCTCGCTAACACCAATTCTCCTGCTGCTCTTTTCCCGTATCAGACGGCGTAACCTACAGTTACTAATCGCAGCAGCCATTGCCATATCCGATGCAAGGGGAGACCATCAGGTTTCCCGGCCTCTCTTCTGGCTAGCACACAGTTTTGCCCTGATGTATTTGTGAGTCTCGTTGTGTTTGCTCCCGGCTGGAAAGTGTCGGCGGGACTGCGTAGAGACCTAATTTTCGGTTTTAAAATTGGCTTTGTCACTTGAGAAGATGCCTGCTGCCAATAATGTCTGGCGGTCATGCGAAGAGGGACCATTAATTGTATTCACTGGGCGCTTACTCAATCCGCATGCCATCGCAGTCTGATATACATTCAGAAAATTCGGCTTTGCTAACTGGGTGGTTTCTATGCACTCACCGCGTCACCTCATGCGCCCGCCGAAGCAAACTCTAACATCGACACATACGGGTGAGTGGTCGGAGTCCATGTTCTTATTCCAAATCGATCGACAGTTTTGGACGCAGCTTCTCTAGCGGCAACTGATCGCGAGGTAATTGCGTCCAAGGCTGGTAGGCGCCATGTCACCCTTCTGCTGGTGCTGCGTCGGAAGTTAGTGCTCGCGAGAAATAGACTAGCATCTTCAATTAAGTGCAACAACTGCTCACCGTTATCACTGCGGAGCCTACACCGTGTTGGCCGCCCTGATGCAGCTCATCAGTGGACAGTTTTTTCAATTCGAGCGTTCAGAACACCAACCTGTAGTACAACATCCGTAGCTTTCCTGTGACGAGGAAGCTTGTTCACTTGGTGATAGAAGTCGTCTTTCACCGAGCCAGTGCTGCTTTATTTGGAACGGGGATGCCTGGAAAGCAATGACACACACCGTTTGTTCGCGTCAGACTTTGAATTTGCCAACCAATCTGGCGGCGCACATCCGACTGCTGAGTAGGATCCAGTATACCAGGCAGATTCGGCCCGTGGACTCGGAGTAATGCTAACACTGGTTTGACCGGTATTTAAAGCTGTGTCATCTCTGGACACATACAATGAGAAAGTGCCGCCAGTGTCACTTGTGGGAGATAGCAGGGTGAGCAGTGAACTCGAAACTTGCAGGTATGTTTCCGATTAACAGCAGATATTGATTGATAGGGTCTTTAGTGTTCGGGCAAGTACTGCCTGTTGGCCAATCTGATGTTAAGCCCGCACATTTAGGTATATCAATGAAATAGGTACGATGAGTTTATACGGGTTAAGAAGCACTGCTTTACAAGTCCCGTTGGGTAGTTTTGTGGGGGTATCCAGACAATAATAATGGGACAGTTAATCATTTAAGTATGCGAAGAAGGACTTATCGTTTGTTCCGTTGTAGTGCTGAAACGCGCGCGGTTTCGTAGCACCCACAGGTAACAACAATTACATCCAAGGTATATTCCAGGAGTAGAATGAAGACAGTGCTAAGTAATTAAATGTAAGTGAATGAATGCGTCATCCAACCATCTTTTAACTATTGTTAGTATGGCTGCAGAGACGACCAGTTCAGGAGGAGCATTCCACGGGTGACATACACGAATGGAAAATAAGTTTCTGCAGCACTCTCTGTACAGCGAGTTTCAGTGAGTGATCTACCAGGTTGGTATTACTGCTGCGTTACAGTATGGAGCGGCACACATGATACGGATCGTGCAGAACCAAGTATGCCATAATCAGTTTACCTCGTAATCTGCGATACCGTCCGCTGAATACCCCCATGGTGTCCTAGTATGAAAGATTGCGCATTCCAATTAGGTTCTTAGATGCTCGACCTTGAGGCTGCTCCAGTGCACTAAGGCAGTGTTTCAACCATGAATGGCAGGCTTGAATGGCGTATCCGACCTGGGAGCAACATACGCACTGTGCCTCTGTCGAAAAATAGAGCTGTCCATTTGTCCAAACGCCCGTCGCAACAACCCAAGGTGTTGGTTTCCAGCCTTCGAGGTCTGTTCGAATTGCCTGGCACAACGTAAGTCTTGTCGAACCAACACACTAAGATCACGTTCGATTGAAGATGGCTGCAGTACATGCGTTCCGAGAATGCAGGAGTAGTTGATCTGGTGTCGTATGGAGAATACCTTGCATTTACTCACGTTGGAAAGCAGCAGCTTTTGATTGGCCACCGATGTACCGTGTCTAATTCACTCTGAAGCAGATACTGGTCAGCATTCACCTGAATCATGCGCCAAAACTTGATGTCGTCGGCAAACAGTGGGAAGTTTGAAACCATTCCCTATGCCAGGTCCTTAATAAACACCAAAACAACCTTGGACCGAGGACTGAGACTTGCGGCCCACCACACACGACTCGAATGGGGTCATATAAAGTGCTCCGAACTCTGACCACTAATTGCCATTGAAGTAGAAAGTTGGCGATCCAGCATAGAAAAGGGTCCCAGCTCCCACAATAGTGGCGCTTGGTAAGGAGTATCCGATGATCTAGACGAGGGGTCACCAAACTACATCTCGTGGCGTAAGTTCATTCGGCTCGCCGGCTGTACCCGAATTAGTTTACTAAACTTAGGCAACAGGAGACACTGTGGTACAATTTACATTGTCAGGGACCTTACGCTGTTCGAACACCGGCGTGAACCATAGGATCGTTGCAGGTGGCACCGTATTACCGTACTACAAGTGACTCCACATCACTGGAACCTTGATGTGAGTGCTCAAGCGGGAAACTCTTTCATTCGTGCACTTTACCGTGTTTCTGTTTCCATCACACCATTGTGCCACAACATTGGGATTGGTCGCTCACTTGAAGCGTGCGTCGGATAAAATGCCGCTAGTTTATGTATGTGTCATTTTGGAGCCATAATTATGACGAATAGCAGGCTGATAGTGCTGGAAGTGCAAATTGTTGTGGTTCATGCATTTTGGTGTTGATGCATGTTCTCTCAATGGTTCCTTTTCCTCAGTTTTTCTGATGTTTCAATTGCTTTTTTTATTATATTTGTAATTCAACACCTTTTACTTGTTCAGATCCTATTTATTTCAACTTTATTAAAAATACTAAGCGAAAAAAAGCTGACCTTGAGTGTCGTGTTTTCCTTGTCTTTTGTCTCAGAGTTTTCGTTCTGGCTCGCAAGTATTTTACCTAATGATTATGCGGTCCATGTTAGCCATTTTGTTGATTATTCGACCCGCCTTAGTCATATTTCCAGTAAATCGGCCCGCCGGGAAATATTTTGGTGACCCCTGGTAAAGACGATCGAATGCCTTCCGAAAATCCAGGTAGATCACATCAACATCTTCTTCAGCGTCAGCTGACTCGGTCCAGCTACTCCATGCGAGGAGAAATTTCGTCG